TTTACCACACGATAGATGGCGCTTGGCTCTCAGCATTATCAAATTTGGCAATTTTCGCCACACATCTCTAATTATGCTACAAAATGTGGGTCTGAATATTATTTAACAAAACTTTTAGGAAACATTCGCCGGCTATTTATTGTTTACGATCGCGGTGCTGGTGAGGTAGGCTCTTACCCAATAGGCGACGTGGATTCGGCTGACGTGCTCCATTTCTGCGGATGCATCGTAGTGAAAAGGCAGAGCTTTCGAAGGAAAGAAGTCGCAAAAGAGTCCAGTTTTCTTTTAAAAGTTCTATAGCAAATAATTTTTTTTTGGCTCCCTAGTTTTGTGTTTTTGTGTTTCTTTTCACACCTTTTACGACGTGCGGTGGATGAAATTAGATTTTAAAATCATTTCATGGTCCCTTTAAGATATCTGTTCGGTGCATCTTAAATTAGCTTTCTTCTGTTTTTTTTTTTTTTCTTTTTTGTAGTCGAGACGTACGAGTTTTAAACGCCAAAAGCGTCGTTTCTTCCTTCGACGACCAAATATTGTAAGAACTTCTTCGCGCAGCGCACGAATAATGCGCGAAACTTCTTTCCCCCCCCCCCCCCCCCCCCCCCTTAGTGGCTTGCCATCCCGCAAAAAGATTGTAAAAAAAAAAAAAAAAATCACGATAAAAAGTGAAGTAATCAGTTCTCTTGTTAAATTTAAATCAGTATACTTTAATTTAAATCAATGTAGCTATAAAAAATGTTTCCAAATCACTCGATAATAGCTTGATTTGTTTAAGTTAGGGAAGAAACTTTATTTGCTTTTTATTTCGCGTCATGATTTTTTCTTGCAATGGGACATCATTTTTCTAGTTTTCGTTTCTTTCTTTAGCATTCTCATTAACATGCAATAAAATGTTATGTAACTGACGAACGAAGTGGCGAGTAGAAATAAAACCCAAAGTTCTGATTTGCTCAGATGTGCTCCTTACTTGCTCGATGTTGATTTGATGTAAATACAAAGCAAATTCACAATAGAAAGCAACAAAACGTAGAGAAAGGGTAAATGAAATATATTTTTGGGATTGTTTTTTTGGGAAAGGTTCCATCAAATTTATCACAGTAATTCCGGCCTAATATAAATCACAATTTAAATCACGACCAAAATCATTCTTAAAATCATATTGATTTTTATTGTCCACCCTAGATGCGCAGAGATATCACGGAAAGCAATTTGTTTTCTCGAGGAAAAAAATCGACAGAGACACCACTTAAGATTGATTACGTGTAGGAAGGCGAAAGCATTCGTACACGCAGCGCATTCGTACAAACAGCGGGCCACTTCTTCCTATCGTACACGGCGCTCTGGCCGTGACGTCACGCTTCCCCACTGCGCAGGCGCGGCGAACTCCGCCGGCCCAACGCCGGCCTCACGACGGCTTCGGTGACAAAGCGTCTGCGTTGTTGCGCTTTTCTTTGTGTTTTATTTCTCATGCGCGTGTGTTGATGACGTATTTTTATTACCATCTTTCGGGGACAACGCCGCCGCTTTTTTGCGCAATGGGACTATAACTTTCGTCTTAATAAATAAATAAATAAATTAAAAAAAGTGATTTTATTGCCCGATAAGCGCGTTGTTATGGTTGTTTTCTTACGGCTTTGTCATTTCCCATATATTTTATCTTTCCAGCGTCTGTTACAGAAACCGACAATTCCGAGTCACTGGGTTGTGCAACCCTTGCGTGGCGTCTAACGTTCCGCAGCTTGTGCGCATGCTCAGAACGCGTTAGGGCGATTATTGGAATTTCTAATGGGCAGCTAACGATATTGTGAGGCAGTGAACAAAGAAAGATAAAAAAAAAAAAAAACTGCTTCGACTTTACCCAACAAGATTAACAATTTAATCATTTAATCTTGTTGGGTAAAGTCGGAGCAGTTTTTTTTATCATTATGATTCCCGGCTTTTGGAATATTTTTGTGAACAAAAAAAGAAAGAAATAACGTGTGTTGTCTGAATTTTCAGCTTGCAGGGTCATGGAGATTAGTTGGATTCGTAAAAATCGACGTAGCAATAGAATTAATTACCCCCAAGTAGATCGAATACCACTCATTAACAAAATTATTCACGGATGGATGGATGTTAACGGCTACATCCTTTGTAAGGGGCGGTAGCTTGCGCCACCTAGCCAATGTCGAAAAAGACAAACATACGATTCCTCCCGCCTTTCTTAGTTAATTTTCTCCCCCTAACTATCGCCAGGCAGTGTGGGGATCGGGCAAAAAACTAAAAAAAACATCACCCCCCGCCTCTTCCCCCCGGCGAGGTAGTCGCCAATTTTCCCCTGGTCAAACCTTGCCAGCGTTGCCTGAGCACCGGACACGCTGGCAGACAGGGTGGAGACTTTTGGACGGAACCACGGGGGAGGTTCCGTTCAAAGGTCCCAATTTTTCTCTGTCCCGCCTCTCCCCAGCTGTGCTCCTTAGTTGTGGATCATTCAGTTTTCCCTACACAATTTCCACCAATCTTCTAATCAAATTCCTTGTGACTAATCCTTTTTTCTTCCGTCCTTCCATCGTCGCCAGCAAAGCCTAGGGCCCCGGTCAAACCCGTTACCCCTTCAGGGAGGGCTGGGCGAAGCCCCGCGCACTTCAAAACCAAGTGCCCTATAGTGTTTGGTTTTCTTTATGGCAAGCGGCACATAATGTGTCTCACTCCTGAAGCTTAGTCCTATACGTCCTCGTCCTCAAAACTCCCGTTCTCGCCTCGAACAGCAAAGCACTTCCCAGTGAGTTGTCAAACACATTTTCCTTTCTTATGTCCTGTTTTTGTGGCCTGTACATTGTTAAGCTGATTTTTTTCTGCATTCTTAGCTCCAACATTTTTCTTTCTGCGTCTTTTACTCCCTTTTCCACCGAAGCAGTCTGCTGAGTCCCATCACTAGAGCAGAAAGTTGGGTGCCTTTTTTTTTACCTTTTTTGTTTTTGTTTTTACATTAGACTAGGACAGTACGTAGAAGCATCGACGATGTCTTGCGAGAAAGTCATGATGAATGAGACAATTACGTGACACTCCGTGCTCGGACAGAGCGTTGCATGCTCGGCATTTTGTTGCTCCTCGCGCCCACAATATATTCCTTCCAAATCTAGCGCAATCTTCTGCTCCTTGGAAACGGGGAAAAGAAAAAAAAAAAAAAAAAAAAAATCGGCGGTACGCGCGGAGAATAAGACCTTGAGAGTCTAGATTTATCTATATGAAGCTAGCTGTGGTGTTTTGCGTCTCTTTTCCGTCGGGTTGCGCAAGGACAGAATGCGCTTCCCAAAATAGCGACGAGGACAACTTTCTCCGCGCTCGTGGAAAAGTTCTGGGAATTCAACCGGAAGTCTATCGTTTGGCTTAAACTACGCACTAACAGTGGCGTACCAGCTTGTTTTTGAGTGGAGGGGGGGGGGGGTTGCCCCCCCCCCCCCCCCTTTCCCAGGGCGGGGGGCGGTGCTCTTGGTATCGCTTGGGCGCCGCCGGCCATTTTTTGACCTGCCCAGTGTCGGCTGTTACAGGGGGTTGGGGGGGGGGGGGGGGGGGGGGGCAAAACAAATGCTTTGCCCTTCACTCTGAAAAGTGGGGGAGGAAGGGCAAGCGCCCCCCTTGCCCCCTCTCCTCCCCCCGGTTGGTACGCCCATGCTCACTAAACATTCTTCCATCTTAAAGAATACATCAGTTTGTCCCAAAGCGAACACTGGGTGTTACAGCAACATTTTTGAGAACGTTAGTCATGGGCGTTACAGCAACACCCAGAGGGTGTTAGACCCGAGTGTTACAGCAACACCCTAAGGGTGTTACAGCAACACCTTTAAGCCTCACACTGCTAATACAACACAGGGAAGGCAATCTGTAAACCGTTGTCTATGGCTTGTCCTTTGTATGATGTATGGGCAGTGTAAGCACACCATTAATCTCCATGTATTCGTGGGCTTCGGTGCTACCACCAAGCTGTGGCATAAAGGTTCCAGTGAAAACGTTCTTGGGGCTACTGGTCGCCCCCTCCCCTTTTTTTATTTTTGTTTTACCAAAAACACAGTAGGATCAAAGCTCTTTCAACTGGATTTTTTTTCGGGCATTTGTATAACAATTGTTTCAGACTGAAACATCTGGATGGATTTATTTCTGCACGCGGGTATATACGCCTCCAGATTTATGTGACTCATTTGTCGGGTTTCGTAAGATGTCGGCTGTTTGCATGCATTAATATTTTATTTCCGCTCTTGCTTTGGTCAATTACTTGTCTGCAGTATGTTCCCAATAAATAAGATGTTTAATAACGATTTGATCAAGTTTATGAATATTGCGCTTTCTAATTTAAGACCCGGTCAACAAAAACGGCACTGAACTCCGTGACTATTATCGTTCACGGCAGAACAAAAAACGAACATCGCAACGATTTAGGTCTCTTTTCTTTTTTTTTTTCACTTCAAAATTGTTGCATATAGGTTTAAACAGCGTCCAACGTTAAGAAAAAAAAAAAAAAAGAAAAAGAAAATGAAACGTAAAAATTTTAATGGAAAAACCACAACATTGAATAACTGCGTCACTTGATAAATGCAAACACATTCCTTAGTTGCAGGCTTTACTTGGTCTAATTGACCCATTTTTGTGAAGGATCAGCTTGAACTTCCATGAACGAACAAAGTTCCTATTTTTTTTCCTTTTTCGTTCGTGGCTGCAAGTTCAAGACCCGGTTGGTATTGCTCGGTTCTTTCTGTACGAATATAATTTGAAGAATAAAATGAACTTCGACATGCTAAGCGATCGAAATATTGTTTTGAAGCCTTGGGTTAGATTATATAATTTTTAATGACACGCAACAACTGTTACTGGAATTACGAGTTAATAAAAACAGAGAAGCAAAGAAAATGGAATTGGTGACGCGGTCGATCAGAAACCGCATGTGGAAAAGCTAACACTCACCGTTGGTGTGGGGACGGAGAAGGGATAAGGCACGACCGGACACAAAAAAGCCGAAGTAAAAGTGAAAGTGCGCTTTCTGCACCGCCCCTAAAAACCAGTTTCGTTTTGAGCAACTCGCGCATGTCCCGCGCGTAAAACTTGAAAGAGTTCTCGAACTGGTGGCGCCATCTTTGAACACGTCACCAGACTATTTTGGGGCACACGCATGTGGCGTTCTCTGGGAACGAACGAAGAAAGTGAGCCAGTGATCTCGGTGAAGTGATCTGTTGAGCGTGCGCTAGGAACGAAATCAACGAAATCAGGAAATCTTTAGGATGATTCACACGACTTCTGACTACCGGCATTCTAAAACACGTCCGGAATTCGACAAGAATATCGAAATCTCGAGAGCGGATTCATTACATCATTACATTAGCGGGCCGGGTCCACCCTCGACCCCAGCGCGTCCATTCAGTCATTGAACCTGCCAGTGTCGGTGTGCAGCGTGCTCCTTCCCGCGAAATGTAGCAGCCCTGCCTGACGATCTCCGCCAGTTCGTACGCTTCGTGCCGATGCCCCGACCGTGCCGACGAGCCCGCCAAGCCTCCCGCGCCCTGTGATCCGAGTTCCGGCCTGCCGGAGAACGGCGCCGTGCCCAAGGAGTTGGGGGGGCCGACCCGGGAAGTGGGAGTCACCCCAGCACATGGGCGCCTCCGTTCGCGGTTGACCGACTGGCCCAACATGGCCGCGACTGTGCGAGCAGTGCGAGTGTGAGCGGTCGCAGTCCCCGCCGCACGGGAGTCAAGATGGGCATCCAGGCGCTGCAGAAGTTCATCGAGGCCAACTGCCCGGGCGCCTGCGTGCCGGTCGACCTGCTCAAGATCGCACGGACGGCCGCGGTGCGTCGAGTCGGACGCGGGAATGCCCGGTCGCCGGCGAGCAACCGGCTCTGCCTCGTCGTGGACGGGGAATGCTGCCTGGACCGGCTGTACGGCGGCTACTTCTCGGACTGGGTGTGCGGCGGCCAGTGGAACCGCATGGTGCAGTTCCTGTCTGTGCTCATTCAGACGATCCAGAACAACAACATCGAGCTGGCCGTCTTCTTCAACGGCAGCCTGGAGCAACAGCGGCTCGATGACTGGCACCGGCAGCAGCAGGCCGAGCGGCGCAAGGTCGGTCAGGTCCTCAAGCACGTGGCCACCAAGGCCACCCCGCCACCCAAGGTGTGGTGGGTGGCACCCGTGGGCCTACGGACCTGCCTGCGGATGGCCCTGCGCCACCTCAACGTCACCGTCATGTGCACCATGGACGATCACCATCAGGAGGTGATCGCCTTCTGTCGGGAGAACAACTTCCACGGGCTTATGGCAGAGGACGCAGAGTACGCGGTCTTCGACCCCCCGCGATACTTTTCCTCGGCTCAGCTCAAGCTAACCTACAAGGTAAGGGCTCTGGCTCCTCGGAGGTCTTCACCCCCACAACCGTGTTTTAGGCCTAGGCAGTCTAGGCCTAAACGTCTCCGACGCGAGAAGCTCGCGATGCAAAACTGCAAAACACGCGCGCACACCGCAGTGCCGCAGTTTGAGAAAAAGTTTGGGACACCCGCCGCCGGACGTTGGTTGGAGTGTTCTTCGCGTGTTTTTGTTTGTTTGTTTTCCTCCTGCGTTCTTCGCGAGGAGATCCACGGATGCGGGAATCTTTTTCCGCTGACGTACAGTAGTACCTGTGGAGTCTCCATCGCTCAACAGGGGCTGTCGTGATCATGATCAACAGGAGCTGCAGCAGTTTTTCTTTTAAACATTCCTTTCTGTGTGCATCTGCGTGCGTGCATGTGCCTCTCTTGCTTATCACTCGTTTACTTGCCGAAAGCGTTGCGTCGGTAAGTAGTACGTACGTACAAAAGCGATTCCGGGAACCTCGAAACGAAGCTACCTGTCACGCGAGCGGTGGTCGTAAACCGTCCACAGAGCAACTTTTTTTTCTCTTTTTTTTTCTTCTATTGAGAGAGCGAGGGCTGCAAGTTACGCATTCCGCACCGCTTCTTGATCTTTTTTTTTTTTGGTCGGTCACACAGTGCGTCGGGTAGCGCCGGACAAACGCGGTGACGCAACCCGATCGGTAGGGTGGTTTTCGCGTCGACATACCCCAGGTTTTATTTTTTTCCTGCTCCGAGCTCCAAAAGTTGGCAGGCTTTTGACGTTTGGGGCCGTTTACCCTGATTCCGGCTTTAAAGTGCCCCACGCTCTGTTTGGTAGCTGGGTAGGTTTACGTGCAAATGTCTGGCTACTTGCGCCAGGGACTGGCTCGAGCTTACCCAGAAGCGGTTGGTTGGTTTGATTAGTGCACAGCAGCTTTCAGACACTCGGCGAGTTTGGTTGATTGTTAATTTTATTTTTCTCGAGATTAATCAGTGGTCCAGACATTAAAAATAAGTCCAGTTCGCAAAGAAAAGAAAAAAGTTCGTCTTTAATTGCAGCATACTCCCTGCCTGCCAATCTAATAATATTAAATTTTGCATGTTTCCCCTTTTCATTGTTTTTACTTTCACATCTTTTGTACTACAGTACCCCACTCCTCTGAGGGAAAGTGAATGAAATGAACTGCCTACACCCTTGTGTTTCAGGTAGTAGAAAATGTCTTCTCCTAGGATAGTCAATGCATAGCCTGTAATCAGGCAAAATGAATGAATGAAAAAAATGGTTTCATTGATCTCCTCGCTTTTGTGGTGTTCGTCTAGTAGTCTGTCCTTTGTAGTTAAGCTATACAAGCAGTTAAGCCCAGAAACTAGGCCGATTGGAATTCGTTGAGAGCATCTATGTGTAACAAATACTCTCGAATTAATACAGCAAATACTGCTGCTAAGAAAATAACAGGCTCTGGAGTTTTTTTTTTTTTGTCATATATTTTTGTTTGAATTGGGTATTTGGCTAGGGAACTTGGGAAGTTCCAAGTCTTGTTTGTTGAAGTAGAGTAGAAACCTTGCAGCTACTGTCAGAGATATGGTCTAGCTGAAGGCTCATTTCCAGAAAGTATTTGCCATCAGTTATCTTTTTTTGTTTATCTTGTGTTGATAGGGTCCTGACTATCCTGCAACCTCAGGAATGAACTTGTTTAAAATTTTCGTACAGTGTTGTGCGACTGCAGCCCCACATAAGTTAATGGCATTTGCCAAACTGTGGAGAAAATGAAAAGGAAAGCTAATGGCTATCTGGAGTGTTAACTGGCACAGGAATCATCATAACCTCCGTCCCTCTATGGTCTGTTGCAACTCAAGAAAGTAGGGCGAGGGAAAGTTAGGCTGGGGAGGAGGCAGCAGACGGAACACTGGAGATGGGAGGAGGTTCCCCCTCCTCTCTCCAGCATTCCGTATGCTTATTCCTCCTCAGCTTTCCTTTCTCTCGCCCTACCTTCTTGAGTTCTAACTTGCTATAGCATGTTTCAAGCTTCGTGCTTCATTAGGAGTAAAATTGTTGTAGGCACGGGTTAAGTATTGCATTTTTCCATGCCCTGTATGCTACCAACACTGTTTTGCGGCTTGCCACTCTTGTCGTGGGGTGCTGTTATACTTCTGTTGCTCTCAAAAATGCTTCCCTGTTCCACCTGTTGCTTGTCTCTTGCCCCCTTGCAGTTGTGGTGTCATTTCAAACTGCTTCTCAAAAGTATTTAATGATGCTTAAAAACAAATTCCTACAAAAAATGTTCTTTAACCGCCTCGAAGGTAGATATGTCACTATACTTCATTTTACTTTAAAAGGGTGCGGACACGAAATTTCAGTGCAAATTTTTTAGCTTTAATACATTGCATGTTGCAGTATAACCTCAAAAATACAAGTCTTTTGTTGAAAAGCACAAGAAAACTAATTTTAAAGCTAAATAAACAATATTTCAATTGTGTACCTGGTAGATGCATGTGGAGCCTATTTGGAAGGTAATCTAGCAACGTTGGGAAGCTTGCTACGCAGTCATGACATAGCAAGTTCCTTTGGAGCAGCGCCGCTCTTTGGAATTAAACATATTCCTTCATAGCTTTCCTCCTCAACCCACAAATCGCGCATTGTACCAAACAGTTCAAGAAGACGGACCCTCATATGTGTACCCGGACGCAGCCATTCTCCCCCTAGAAGATTAGCCTGTCACTCAAAATTTGGACAAAACTTGCTTTTTCCACCCCGTTCAGCCCTAAGCTGACAGTGTTGTGGAAGCTACGTGCTCCTTGGGCCAGCCACACGCTCGTCACCCCACGGGTACTTCGAACGGCTCGGTTGTAATGCGTTGACGCTATTGACACCACCACACCACCACCAACGGCGAAGCTCATAACCACTCCAGCCTTGCTACGTCACAAACGTGGGGAATCTTTTTTTTTTGTCTTTGTTTGCACCGGATATCCCATGATGCATCGCGCTCTCCGTTCACTTCTCTTCGAGCGCTTGCTCGAGTGCACCGTTTGGCACGAAAAATATAGACAGTCGTTCAAAATACAACCGTGCGAGTATCATTTACAGTTATCATCCGTCATGCTTGACTCGTTTCCGAATGATATTTCAATTTTCGTTTCCGTACTCCTTTAAGTGTGAGCGTAGCAGAAGCTACAAGAGTAAGCACCAGGCTTTCAGTATCCCTGCAGAGTCTGTGCGCTTGCGCGTAAAGTAAAACAAGCTACAGATATGCTCTCTCTGAAAAAGGTAGAAGAAATTCAACTGAATATTCACTTTATTTCCGAACAATTTCCTCTGCTCACGCTTGCTGGCTCCAAAGTGGCTCTCATTTCGGGGTGAATCTCATGGATATGTCCGAATAGGAGCCGCTTTCTACTCCTCCCATTTTGTGAGAAAGACTGTTGTGGAAAGATATGTCCGTTTGTGCATAACGCCACACTCTCTTCGGAGCACCGTCAAAAGGTGTGAGGGAGAAAAGTGGATAGGAGACATACTTGCATGGCTTTGGGCTTTGTGATGTGAACATTTCGTTTAAGGCTGATGAACAAGTGTAAGGAAGAAAACCGCCTCTCGATATCTTTCCCTCCGAAGAAGGAGGAAACCCTGTTCCCTCTTTACGGGGAGTAGCTTTTGGACCCACAACTTTCAGCCGAGGACGAGGAAAGAGCATGAGTGAGAATGGAATGTCACGGTTTTTTCACTAGATTTAGCAGACCATAAGTCCATGTGAAATCCGCTGCTAAACCTCTCTAATAACGCTGTTGCTGTAAAAAAACATGTCTGGGTTATCAGTTAAGTGGTGTCTATAGGGTACTACGAGGCCTTCTTGGGATGTACGGGGGGAAGCTGTGACAACCCTTGGGGGCGGTCGTTGTGGCAACACGGGGTTGGTTCAATTTACCGGCACCGGCCTACATTTGTGCACAATATTGTGGCACGGTGCAGGCAAGTGCAGAGCAGTGCACTTCTGGTATGTGTTTCGAGGTGGGCTGCACTTAACCCTTTCCCTACCATGGACGTCCAGACTGTTTGTACCGTTCCCCCCGAAGACGAGCTGGGCTCGTCCACGTTGATTTGGGCTCCGATACGCTACCATGGACAAACTGGGCTAGTCCACGTGTTTCTAGTGAGCTTTGCCGTGGATAGATGGCGCTTCATGGAAAATAAAAACCTGATAAATTTTGGAATTTGGCAGAAAATTGTTCTAACGCAGGCAACAAGGGATTTAAAAATGGCGACGCCAATTTATGGTCGCTGCGTTCCTAGTGACGATCTTGCCTCATAATTTGGGCGGAAACGAAGATATTGTGACGTCTGTTCAGATTCAGAAGACGAGGAAATGAATCTTTCGCCGAACAGCGAGAGGAATGCAACTGAGTTATTGGATTTGAGCTCGGACGACTCCGATTTTGATGAGGACATCGTGTCAGCATGGACTAGAATCAATGTAGAAAATCCCCCTCCAGCCCCTCCACATTTTGCGTTCACCCTACGTGCAATGTGATGTGAACTGTCTGCAGTACTGCTACGCCCAGTCTGAACGTTTCTCCACCGCCGTCAGCTATTTTTGCGGTGCCTCTAAAAAGAAGGGTATGCAATGTCACTCACTGGCATAGCAGAAAATGCACAGAGATTTTTATGGGCTCAAGCTTTATTAATTTTTATTTTCTCAGGATAGGCCCGTAGGGCAGAGTTAATGAAAAAAAGAAAAGTATGCAGTACGCTGTCTTGGATGATTTTGACTCTCCACACGTCTTTTCTACGATTGCAAAAGACAACGTAATCTTAGCAGCGATAGCAACATAGAAATTGATTTTGTGATCACATAAGACATTGCAAGAGTTCAGGAAGGCTAACACTATTCACTTTTTTCAGGTAATGAAAACACATCATTCAAACACGCCTTTAAATATGGTACGCACCAGTAATACATACCTTGAACTTGAGCACATGCATGAAACGCACAAAATAAGAGATCCGAGCGATGTTCGAGGACACAGATGCAACAGAAGCACCCCTGTAGTCGAAGTAAACAAACACGACGGCACAAGTGTTTCTGCTGTCTTGAGGGTGCCACCACAACATTGCTGCACGAGTACATGTATCTTCCCTTCAAGGACGTGCTGGGTTATCATTGCGACTAACGACAAGAATTCAGTCAAGGATAGCGCTCTACGTGGAACAATGAGTTTCCACTACGCCAACCACGTTGACGATCACCACCGATGCCATGTTTTTAGCAGATAGCAGGAACTGGCAGGAATTACGACGGGCGCAGGCGCAGTCTGATGGTCTGATCTCTCTCGCTTCGTTTACCACACGAGAGATGGTGCATGACCCGAGCATTATAAAATTCGTCAATTTCCGTCACATCGCTAATTATGCTACAAAATGTGGATCAGAATATTCTTTAACGAAACTTTTAAGAGACATTTGCGGACTATTATTCTTTTATGATCGGGGTGCTGGTGAGGTACGCTCTTATCCAATAGGCGACGTGGATTTGGCTGACGTTCTTTGGCACCGCAGATGCATTGCAGTGAAAATGCAAAGGGCTTTCGAAGGAGAGAAAATATAAAAGAGTGCTTTTCTTTCAAAAGTTCTATGGTGAAAAAATTTGTTTGGCTCTTTATTATTTTTTCACACCTTTTGCGATGTACGGTGGATAAAATTCGATTTCAAAATCGTTTCATGGTCCCTTTCAAGGGGACCTTAAGCAGTTTCTTGAGCCACCCAAACCAGAGACGTTTTCGGAATGCCCAGGCTCTAGTCTTCCTGGCATGCTATTATCTAAAAAAGGTGATGCAAAAACCAACATCCAATTTTTTCCATGCTGTCCAGTGTGGGCGATGTCACACGTTGTAGAACTTGCAAGTCGAGCAGGCAGTCTAAAGGACATATTTGGTGCACCCTTTTTTGTTTGTTTTGCCGGCAGGAGTTTTTCTATAATTCGTTTCACACCAGACTTTTTGTAACCCATTCGGAACAAGGTGTACTGTCCCCCTCTTACAACAACTGACACCAGACTTTTAGCATTGCCATTAGAGCCTCTCGGACAAAACTTAAGAATCATATAATTTTGCAAAGGAAAATTATTGTGACTCATAATTGTCAAACATTTGGTGCTGTCATCTTTTGGCAGAGCCGTAAACAAAGCCACTAGCGAGCCAGAGTCATCCGAAATGGTCGAGCGTGTGAACCGGGGAAAGCAGACGAGCTTTACTCATCCCGAATGGCCCGGGAACGACCTCACGTCGACGAGCTAGGCTCATCCTAAACAGTTATGCGGTTAATGCGTCGAACCAAGTTTGGGGCATGTTCAACGTTTGCTGGACCTCCCTTTAATCGAACATGGTGGCATGCACTGAGCGTAGTTGGTGCTGGACGTGGGGGTGAATCAAGGAACTGTCCGTCATGCCCAGGGGTCCCTGGAGACGCGGGAGTTCATCCTGGACGAGGTGGCTCGCAGCCTGAACGTGAACCCCAACCGGGTGTGCATCCTGGCTGCCCTGCTGGGCAACTACCTGCTCACTGAGGAGGACCTGGCACCCTTCCACCGCTCCCTCTGCCCAGATCACAAGGGGAAGGTGAGCAGGCATCTTTGGACCGCACCAACTGAAGCCACTGGATGACGATCATTCGCACACTCGCGACTTCTTACGACCTTACACCTTAAAACCTCTTGTGATTTCTCGAGAGAACACACTTGCGCCATCTGTCGGTCAGCCTAGGAACTCGTCTCCTTTCTGCGCATTTCCTAGTTTATTGTCGCGTCATTCTTTCTTGGCTAGAAAATATTTTGACAAGGTTATAAATACCGTTTCTCGTAGGTAGTAGGTATGTTTTGTCGTGCAAGTACCGCAAAGCCTTCGCTCCAGTGAAGAGTAGTTTTAGAAAATTTATGTTAGACATGCGGGGGAAAAAAAAAAGGAGTTAATTTAAGCGCGAGAGAATAAACAAATAGGATGGAGCACTAAACACAACATCTTTCATTATGAAAGATGTTGCGTTCTGTGCTCCGTCCTATGTTTATCGTCCGCACGTAAATTGAACGTTACTAACACGCTCAGTTGGTAATAATTCGATGGGTAGTGGCCTTTATATAGCGCATTGCAGCCTCTGTTGCGCCACTAATCGTGCCGTCGTTGCCACGGCGGGCAGGTCATCCCGACGGAGACCCTGATCCCGGCGGTGGTGGGCTTTGTGCGTGATCTGAGCAACCCGGAGGACCTGGACGCCCTGGGGGCCCAGGTCTTCCCCGGGACCCAGCGGGACAAGGTGCAGAGGCTCAAGCACTGCGTCCAGTACTACCTCAACGGCACCAAGGAGGGCTACCTGCGCTACCGGCCGCCCGGACAGGGTAGGCACCGAACCCCGCCGGCATACTCTGGTCTCTCCAAACACCAATCTCTCTCCCTGAATCTTGCGCGGAGATCTGTACCGGAGTTTTGCAAAGAGAATGCCCCCCAGAATGGCGTAATGCGCGAGTGGAACGCGGTAAATTTAGCGGACTCGCGTCCCGCAAAATCTGCTAGGAAGGTTTTTTCGACTAAATTTAGAGCAGAAATTGAATCAATGTATATTATGATATGTGCAGTTTTGTGTTTTCAAATATGTATACCCTTGAACTTCGAGTAATAATGCTCGAGCAAGTTTCATAGGAATAAGGGGAAAACCAAAAATAATAAAAAAACAAAAACAATCGCAGCTGTCTTTGTGGGAAAAATTCGAGGTCCATGCAAAGGAATCTTTATCTACTGCTTTATTTTGTGTCAATCTGGAACACAACCCCACTGAGCTTTCCCACAAGCCTGCTTTTTTAAGAACCAATCACCGTACGAAGTTTCAGGCACGTAGCCAGGGGTGGAGGGGCACCCATGGCACCCCCCCCCCCTCCCCCAAATCTTCCATTTTGCTGGGACCTCCTCTCCCCCCTCCCCCTCATAGAGCATTTTGTCATGGGCCCCCCTGAAACAAAATCCTGGCTACGTGCCTGCCAAGTTTCCTTTCCTTATACCAACGGAACGTTATAAACATATTCGGGCCATACACATTTATCGAGGAGGTTGGGAAATCCCACGCCCGTGTCCCGTCTGCTTCAAAGTTGTCCAGGTAAACGCCGACATTTTTGTCTGATACTAAAAAGCGCGGAATTCCTCGTAAAAAAATTAACCCTAAGGGCTTTTAGGGCTTACCTTTCTCCGAGTCTGTTACCTTCTCCTTTGACGCCGTCTTTGCACCGTTTTTGTCTTTATTTTGCCGAAAGGCCGGTTGGGATGCTAAAGGCTGGTTCAGATATTTGTGTTCCACTATGACGCTTCGGGTGGACCACAGTTGCCGTAGGAATCCCCTCACCGTAAGCAGTCATAGGCAGTCGTAAAGCAGAATGTCGCACTCGGATGCGATTACCTGGACCAGTCTTAAAAGGGCGATGCAGCGATTTTTGAACTTTGCGCAAATACCGCTTAGACAAGATCCCTGACGTTAATGACCTGTAAAACATCCAATCAAAATCGCAAAAAAAGAAAAAGAAAAAAAAAGAGCAGCATTTACTTTTTTTATTTGAAGCCAGAACAAGGGGCCACATGATCTGGAGCTGATTATATGCCGCCGATTTTAATCAGAGCCATGCGCTGAGGTTGGCAAGGCAGAGGACACATGCTGAGTTCCAGACATTGTTATGGTTCGGCTATCGTCGTCATTTCAGTGATTGGACACGGGCCACTGCCCGAATGCTTCTCAAGCTATCGAGTGCCCATGCAATGCTTGGGTCCAATCTATGAGCCACATTCAGATATTGTCACTAGAGGATACTGCGATCCCCCAGTTACGTCGTCACGTTTCGCGAAGAAGAGGTATAATGAAAACGCTCGCTTTTGTCCTTGAAATTACACAGCAACAAAGGAGTTGCTTGACCGGTGGCGTTGCATGCAATTATAATTATCCTTGAGTCCCACTAGCGCCAGTAAGCTCGTGTTAAGTGAAAAACATTGCAATTGAATATCGTTGCACCGCCCTTTTAAGGGGTGACACCACCTCTAAGTGTAGATTTTTGAACCAGTTGCTCAATATTGATGAAATTTGGAGGGTCTATTCATCCCGTTACCTAAATGCACTCTATGTCTATTTTCCGATAAGCTACAGGGGGAGGCACACAGCTATTAATGTAAGTTGCCTCATTTGGCAAGGAAATCTGTCGTATAAAATTGCTGGAGAATATTGAGCATTTCTAAGCTTTAGCTTTAGCTAGAACATATGGTGGGTGGGGCTCTCTATTTTTTACCTTAAAATCCATGTTTTTCTATGCAAAATGTCAATCTGAAAAGCATTCCACATAATGGGGCATTTTCTCCTTATCAAAACTCTACTTTTTTGGCAATAAGAACTTTATTTAAATAGAAAAATAAATATCTAGCCCCCTTCCTCATTAAATTTGAGTTGAGAAACATCCACAGCGAAGAATACGTTCAGCGATTCATTGAAATGATAGATTTCCTAAAGCGAAAGTTGCTGCTAAAGAGTGAAACTAAGAAAAACCTGTTTGAAGTTTCCACACCACTACATTTGCTTTTACTGGTGTTGGTGGCAACTAAAAGGCACCAGGAGCGTAGATGGTGCCGTCTGCTTACACCAAATGTCCTGCATGGCTTTGCTGAGTGTGTCCGAGCTTTTCGAGTGCCATTTTGTTGTCGTCATGTGGACATTGATTGTGAAACGAGTGAGGAATTGGGTATGCTTGCAATACACGAACCAACATCAGCAAGTATGGGCGGGGCAAGCATCATAGAAATACAGAGCAGACAAAGACACATGACTTTCTATAAGTGAATGCTGATTTTAGTCAGTTTTGTGTTCCATCAGGGTGGGCTTTTCGATTCCTGGCCATATGCATAGCCTCTTCTACGTGAAAGCTGGACTTCTATGGTGTTCTCTCGCCCAAATAGAGTTTACTCTCGAACAAAGATATTTAATATACTGACACTGTGAAGAAATGCTCTTTCCAACGAGAATATGATTATCATTCAAGGGCATACCGGTGCAAAGCTACAGCAGTTTGAAAATAGGAAACAGAAGTTTCGCATTTCAAAACATGTGATTTTGCATCGTTGGCTTACCGAAAATGTTTTATTTCTCCGTAAATACTTCAGATATTGCAATAAAAATTTGCAGGAGTATACATAATTAGTTGTAGAACCACAATACATAGGAATAGGAAAATTAATTTTTTTCTAAAAAATTTTAATTTTAAGGTAATGTTCCCTCTTAAGTGTGCACGTGGTGTTGTATGATGGCTGGTTTGTAAACAAAACTGTTATGAACTTGAAAAGGGACCTGCTGCTAGCATCGGAGCAGCTTCTTCAAGAGCCGAAGAAGTTCAGTCTCCCGACGAAACGTCAAGTGCCACTCCGAGGTTTTTGAGGTTTTTTCTGGTCCACGCTATACTCCGTCTCACCGTAACTAGTGAAATGGTGAAAGCTCCTGTGGGCCATTTGGCTTGTTCGAGGGAGCCACGTGACCATGCACTATCTCGCTAGTTGCGTGCAGCGCTGTTGAAACCACAGGCAGGAAAGAAAAAGGAAAGTTGCTTTTGCGCGAATTTTTGAGCGACAGTTTAATCTCCAAGGGGAACAAAAAGGCATCCGGGATGCACAGAAGAAGGTCTGGTTAAGAGGGCAGTTCCTCTTTCCCCCTTCTCCAGCCGCTTGGGTTATGCTCTCGCCCCTGCACCTTTGGTAAGGGCCGTCACGTGCTTCGCCTCCGTGGCTCCGATTTGTTCTCCCTTTCCCAAGTCGCGGCGGAACGAAGTGTACCAGCTTCAACCACCTCCGCATTTTGTTTGGGATTGTGCCGGAGTTCTAGACGAGGTGTGGTTTGTGTTATAGGGCGCCGTCACGAGACCGGCTGCTATCCTTCGTCCAACCTGACGCCCATCACGGAACAGCAGTCCGCCACCCTCAACGGGAAAGGTGGGTTGAAGTTGGTTGCCGAGCCGTTCGACTCGAAAAATAGTTTGGCTGCAGCTACTTGAGCCGGAATGTAGTGGAGTTGCAAATACGGTTGCATTCTTGCAGTGACAGACTCGCAGGAACTAGGTTGTGTTCCAATTCATCGCACAGTGTCGAGGTGTCGCACAGTGTCGAGGTGCAGTGCGGTTTCTGACTGGTGGTTTGAATTCTAATCTGAAAAAGATACTGGCACAGTTTTGGCTCGATTCGGTGCTTGAACCACCGTGGAGTTGGAGGCGGTAACAATACATAGTGCAGGTGTTGAGACTAAATCAGTGGAAATTTGTGGATTCCCTAACATAATTTTGAGAATCAACTCGTTTAATTAGGTTTTAAGCTGCTCTGAAAAGATGCAGTAGATAATATTTCGTTCTGCCTTAGAAAATGTTAAGGTACCACAATTGTGACTGATTACACTGACTTCTTTACACCTGCACTTCCTTAGTTGGTTGGCAGCTCTGACCGGTTGTTGTGACCTTCTGTTTCCTCGCTCCCTGCGACGCTTGCAAACACTGCATGGAGCTCACCTGCGGTCATCATCATCATCATCATTTATTTTTCCTGGAAGACCCAGGGGGCATTATACAAAGGAGTGAACACTTTAAAAAACAAACAAACAACGCAAATATTTAACAACGAAAACACGCTGCAATCTAGTTGTAGGTTAGAAAAATAAGGCAATGGCTGCAGCAAATTTCTTGGTGTCAGATATGGAAACAATTACGTCTGGCAGTGCGTTCCAGTCGTCAATGGCCAATATGGTAAAGTAGACATTTGGTAAGTGACTGTTGACGGTGAAATCGGATGGAGTTTACAAGAATGGTGACCCATACATGCATGTGGATATCGCTTAGGTGTAACGTGGTGTGCCAGTCATGTTGTGGAGGCAATCGGGCTCCCGTGCAGTAACCAGGTGCTCTGCAATAGCCTCGAGACCAAAACAAGTTTTGTTGGGGCATTTCGTCTCTTTCAGCCGACCTGGCGTCTCCTTCGGATCACTCGTCTGTGGGCGATGCCTTTCCCCGTTCGGACCCTGCCAAGTTTGCGTCCGAGACAGCCGAGAGAGAGGTGGGTCGCCCTCCCGCACTGCACTTCGTCGGGTTGCTCGATTAGCACTCGTTCTCGACGCAAGATGGGCGGACATTGTCGGTAATTTGACTGAATGTCCGCCAGCCCCGAATACCCATAGTTGTGCGAGGAATACAAGTTGGTTTGTTGAGAACAGACAGCGTGTGTGGCGAAAGCGTGGGGAGAGTTTGGATAAATGCGGCTTTTAGCGCTTTCCTTTAATTGAAGCAATTCCACGTGAATTGAAACATCTCGGAGGCAACGTTCTCTGCGAATACTTCTGTCGGCGAGTTAACAATGGCCGGGGCCCCACCAAAAACTATAAACACCGATCTGTTTTTTTTTTTTTTTTTCTTTTTATGATTTTAGAAGAGGTTAGCATTTTTTTTTTTGCGACATTGAGTTTCGTGGGACTTTTATACCGTGCGCTATTTCACGCCGTCAACGGGACGTTTATTTTGTGCTCGCGTACTGTCCGTGTCCTAAAATTCACTTAATATTACTCTAGTGTATGGGCTTTGTATGTTAGTGTTCGAAAACCTCCTGGTATCCAGCATCGCTCTGTCTGTGCTATTGCTTGGTATGACTGGTGGGATTGACTCGGACCTGCTCAAATAAAATTTGGAGAACAACTGTGGATTGTCTGGTGCTGTGTTCCAAAATTTACTCATTCTCACTCCAGGGTTGAGGTGTTGTACTTTAGCATTTAAAACCAGCTGGTGTCCAGCATCACTCTATCCGTGCTACCATGACCCGTGAGAGTACCATATTTGCTCAAATATAATGCAACCATGAACAGAACTCGAGGGCAGGTTTCAAAGCCCCTAAAAAAAAAAGAAGTTAATACTGTAGGTAGATAGATAGGTATATTTTTTGTGACTGCCTGCAACAGCCGTGTGGCCTTGGGCAGCCATGTACTGCCCTGGGGAGTAACAAAACAAGCAGGTTACAGAAAAATGTAGACATGTCGATTGGCAAATTGCTTGCATCTTAGGATAAAAGGTGTCACGGCACCTGGAAGTTTTCCTTGATGGTACCCGAAAGTTCAGCGCCGTCAACAACTCTGTGCAGTCAACACAGCCACTTACAACCTGTCGCAGGAAATGCGTACCTCTTTCAGTCGTTCGATCATGCAGCGGCAATAGACCGAGGTCCACCGGTAGATTATTGTAGCTGTAAAAGCAATGGAGGCCAATGTGCCTATCGTACAAAATTCGTGTACACTTGCGTTGAACATTTTAAATTAAATTACCGTGCGATGCCATGACAGAGTTCCATACCATCGACGAGAATTCAAGGCGCGCTCTAACAAGTGCACAATACAGGCTTACGAGACATTCGTAATTACAAATCTTCCTTGTAAGCCGTGAAACGACGCCCAAGTTGCGTAGTCCCTGGTCAACAATGCACTTAATCTGCATTCAGTCGGAGGGGTGGCTTTCTTCCGACCCAAGCCCCTCCTTGCCAAGCTCAATTCTGAATATAATGCAAGGTATGTTTCAAAACGCACAATTTCAAGGAAAAGAAAAAAAAACAAAAAACTTTCGTTCTGTTTGTGCAAATATGGTAACCGATCTACTCGGGTGAAATTTGGAGCATAGCTGCGGATTAACTTGGGCCAAGTTCTAAATTTACTCAACCTCACTCCAGAGTTGAGGTGTTGTACGTTAGCACTTGAAAACCTCCTGACATCAGTCATTGCTCTATGTGCGTTATCACGCGATGTTGCCCACGGAAATGACTCGGATACACTGGAGCACGATTTAAAATGAGGCCGAAGATTTACTTGGGCCACGTTCCAAGATTTAGGCAATCTACTCCTAAGTAAAGATTTCATACCTTCGCGTTCAAAAACCTCCTGGCATCCAGCGTCGCTCTATCCGTGTTATCACGTGATACGACTCGCTAGAGTAACTCCGGTCTGCACGAGTAAGGTTTGGAATGCGGACACTGTGGCGTGTGCCCCGTTGGAACGATTGCATCAAACCAATGCTCTGCACCGACCTCCCCGCAGCTGTCCAGCCTGACGGCGTACCGGCAGGCGACGGCAGGCTTCCAGGGTGCCAACGGGGAGTCCGGCCACCACGGGGTGCTGGAACCTCCCGGGGACGACACCCCGAGGAGGAAGAGCCACGAGGAGGAGGGGCTGTCCCTGGAGGGGCGCAGGAACGGGGCGGGCCCCCAGCTGAATGGGGTGGCAAGCTCGTCCAGCAGCAACGGGTCCAGCCCCGGCCGCCAGAGCCCCAAGGCCCCGTGGCTCAGCTCCGGCAAGAAGGCGAGTCCGGCCACACCGGGCCTCCTCGTCGTTTGGACAAAGACTGAAGTGCCTCTTCACACACTTGCAACCGAGTACGACCTAAAGAGACAAGACCCGCTGAAACCTTTTAAAATTTCTTGGGACGAGAGAACACACTGGCAGACTGGCACACCGGCGCCATCTATGCGGTGACCTCTGAACTGCATTTCATAAGAGCGAAGGTTTGGCGGGATTTCCAAGGTCAAATGTGCGCAATACTTATAAGAAAGGCTCGTTTATAACGTTGACAAAAGTTTTTCGAGCCAAGAAAAAGGATAATGCGCGAGCGAAATAGAAAATATGCCGGACCGCCAAGTTTACACTGCTGCCCAATAGATGGTGCCAGTGTGTTCTATCGTCGTAAGAGATATTAAGAGGTTCCAAGGCATTCGGTTCTAAGAGGTCGCAAGTGTGTGAACTGGCTTTGAGGGGAAGGAAATCGACATGAAGGAAAAATCCTACTTTTGGTTTCTGGGCTAGGTTGTGCGAGCTACTGCCCGTCATAGAGGGTACAGCCTATGGCGTCCATTCATCCATCGGGGTCGGGGGCTTCAGTTAGTGACCGGGCAGCTTTGCTTGCAAAACATAGCGTCGCAATTAATACGCTGTGTTCCTGCGGGCGGTTTTGCGAGACCAGCATTTGTGAACATGACTAGAAACAAAACATATCAACGAAGTCTCGCTGCAAATTCGATAGTGTTGGGGAATGTTCGAATTTTCTCATCTTTGTTACGCATAATGTGCTGTTCGATATTGGCTTAGATATGAACTGTGATATTCATATTTTTTGAAGCGCTGATCGCGACGGGCTAGCCCCGTCGAGCGCGCTTAATACAAAGCACTGGTGCGCTGCAGTGAGCACTGCAGCGCACGAGTGCTCACTGAGAAGATTTCTGAACGGTGCTATTCCGCCACAATCACTATTTCAAAAAGCAAGAATGTCATAGTCGCGTGCATAGGAGAAAAGCTCGCTTTCAGAGCAGGCTGGTGCCCAAGCTCCTGGTATTCAAAATGAAACGGGAACTTTGGGAATTCTGCAGTCCAGTAAAAATTTCAAATTTATATTGCGCGGCTATTATGTGAGAGTGTATGTTAACACAAATGCCCTGACTGATTCTTTTTTTTTTTTCTTAATTCGAGATTGATGAATAGTTATTTGCATATAGCAAGATTTATAAATTCACTCAATTGAGTATAACTGGACATCCCTATAAGTCTAACTTTATGTAAAGTCTATCATTTCCTTGTCATCCCAATGTTGGTATTGGACTTTGTCAGGCCACAGTCCATAAATAAAGTTAAATTAAAATTAACTTGGACATGGACGAGTGGAAGCTTGGGAGCAACCTTCGTAAGTTCAGCTGGGTTTTTGTTTAAACATGGTGCGACAGTAGCGAAAGGCTCGGAGAGTGTATTCAATGTTCGATCTGGAAGTATTTGGCCAAAACCACTGTTTGTTTTGAATCGTGCATGACTGAAACTTAACAAGGCCTCAATTCAGCTTCAACGCCATAGGAACCGGTTTTCCGCTCTGGCCGACTGGCTGTCTGTGCTGCAGCCCAGTGCGTCTCCACTCTGTGTGGTGGGCCAATGCGTCCCTCCTCCCCGTCCCAGGGCTCCGAGTGTGCCAGTGGCGGCCTGCCGGATCCCCCGAAGCTCCCCAAGGTCCCTCCCGAGGTGATGCGCACGGCCAGCGAGCGGCACCAGAAGGGGCTCATGTCCCCCTGGATCTATCAGCTACTCTCTCAGGCAAGTGTCTGGCCTCTCACCCCTCCTTCAGTTGCACTCCCTACGGCGTGAAAGCTGAACTCTCGGACGACTCCCTTTGTGCTGTCCCCCCCCCGGGTATAGTCCCAGTTGCTCTCTTTTATTTTCTCTCCTTTTCGGACTGGGAAGGGCCGTCTCGGTGGGGTATGCATTATTAAGCTTTTGCTCCTATTTTAAAGAGTTGCGTATCTTGTGTCCCCTCGAGTGTTTTTTTCTTTTGTTTTTTACTACCTTTTACAGCATGTTCCTTGCTTCCTACGGAGCCCTCCCACCCCTCTTTTCTTATTAAACACTGGCATCCTGGCATCATATTTGCATGATTTTAGCGCACCCTCGATGTAGACGTACACCCGGTTTTTATACTCAAGAATGATGGTTCTAACATGCAGGCGGTTTTTAAGTACTGTAATTGACCTAATTTTTGCGAGGACCCGATTTTCGCGAATTTCGTGAATCTCCTACATTTTGCGAAAAATGGGTCCTGCAAACAATGGAAGCTATATGGAGATCCCACCGCGTCGCGAAAATTAACACCCGCAAATTATTTCACCTAAATTGCGAAATATTGAGCCCTTGAAAAATAAGTCTTTTACAGTAATCTTACTCTCAAAGAAAGGTGCATACTATTACAATTGAGTAAGTGCAGTATATTGCAGAGATGTATGTGCCAAAGTTCCAATATGCTCGCACTATTGGTGCAGGCATCTGTGCTGCTGATATACGAATGGTCGGGTGTAGTGGAGATTCGAATCTTCGCTACATTTGAGTTCTGAAAGAAATCCTGAATCTTCTTGAAAAACTTTACTAATGCTTGGACAAGGGGTAGTGAAGGGGACCAGCGTATACGGCTGCATTAAGCCGATTGAGGGTTGGCTGCTGGTGTACTCTGAAGAATGGCACGCCAACGTCTGCCCTCCCCGACGACGTCTGCCCGCAGGGTGCCATCAAGATCCCCGTCGCCATCGAGGACGAAGTGCCCCGAGACCTCCCCTGGGGCACCACGCTGTTCCGCCCCATCCGGCAGATGGTGTACGCCGTGCTCTTCAACATGCACCACGTCGCCTTCGTGGCGCGGCAGAAGCGGGAGGCCGCCGCCCAAGCTGCCGCCTCGACCGGGTCGTCGACCGCAACAGACTCCGCACCTGGCAAGACTCAGGACGGTGCGCCGGGCTCCGACGGTGCGTGGTCCCACACCGGGGCATTTCGTTGTCAGCATAAATGCAGTAAACCAAACTTCTTTCGAGTTAACCTCGACGAGGCCTTGAAACTGGGCCGAATTCTCCGAAGACCAAATTAGAGAAGAGGGTGCAAAAACAGTCGGTCAGATTTGATTCTAGTGACCAGGTAGCCTGGGATTATTTGCTGCCTTTTGTGCCTAATGTGCACATCTGTTACCATGTTTCAGAGAATGTCAATATTTTACGAAATAAAATCGAGGCAGGCATAGGCATCTTGTTTTTTTTTTTTTTCGGCTAGTTCGTCAAAGCTAGGCCACCCTTTTTTTGCTTTATTTGATGGTGCAGTGGGTAGCGTGCATTCTGCGGGTTGCTGGGAGTAAAACCTGTCGCTAGAGGGCTGGTTCTACTTCGTGGATCCTGCCCTTTGCTGACAGGTTCCAATTTATCCACTGTTGACAGGCTCCAACCCGCCTATTGGTACGGGGGTCTTATCCCCTTTTTAGCGACAGATTCCACGGAGTGGAGTGCGTTATGAGGTATCACTCAGTATAATACGTTAAGCTGCGTACAATTTGTAGTTTGCTTGGCATGAAACCTGTTGCTAAAGGGCAAGTTCAACATTGTGGATTTTGCCCGCTGCCGATGGGTTCCATTGGTGTCGGGTTCTGACCTGCCCATTAGTGCCGGTTACGACCTGCCCTCTGGTGACGGGTCGTGCGGAGCGGAGTGCATCATGCTTCCCCTCCCTGCAGGTGACTCCCAGTCGGGCCCCGCCCCCGTGGTGGTGGTGGAGTGGGTGGGGCGGCCCCCGTCCTCCTCTCCCCAGTCGGGGGCCCACCCGGAGCTGGTGCCGGGCGTGCAGCTGGGCTGGCCCGTGCCCACGGTGCAGCGCCTTTGGCTGGGGCCCTCGATGGACGACAAGAAGTGCCGGCTGCGGGCCTTCCTCACCTGCATGCGCAGCGACGTGCCGCTGATGCTGAACACGGCCTACGTGCCCCAGCACCTGCTGATCCCCTGCACGGTGCTGCGCTTCCTCATGGCCCAGGGGCCTCTGCTGCGGCGCCAGGAGCTGGACGCCTTCTTGGCCCAGGCGGTCTCCCCGCAGCTCATGGACGCCCAGAGCACCCAGGGCATGCAGCTGCCCCTGGTGTCCGTCCGGGGCGTACAGCTCGCCTCCCTCTTCCTGCAGGTGGGGGTTTTGGGCTCATCCGCGCAACGGACCTTTCTTGGTCCACGAACGGCGCATTGCGTGACCTCGCGTCACCAGTTTACAATTTCCGTCGACTGCCCTGTTTGTAAATATCTAGCTTTTTTTCTCTAGGATTTACGCTGCGGACCTTGGCGCTTTCGAAACAATTAAGGGTGTTAGGTGGGGCAACCAGCCTCAAAGCAGTAGGCTGCTGTATTCTGTTGCATAGTACTGTGTACTGCCGCGGACGTCGCGTGCCACCGGTAGCTCTTAGATGTCGCACGACCCTCTGGTGGGGGGGGGCTTCACATAGATCTTAACGTCGCGTGGGGCTCGTGAAGCCGATGATCGACCAAGATGTCTTTTGGCACTTGTCGTAATATATTGTAAGGGGAAAGGATTTTAGTTTTGACGGCTTTTGGAGAAGCCGAGGGGTCGAGAGGTACGCCAGTGCGATCGCCCTGTCTTTTTGTTGCGTGAATCTTCCCTTTAGCCTGGCGACCCGGCGACTTATCATGCGACGAAAAACTTGAATGCAGTGAGTGTGTTTCTCCTTATTTTTTAGAAACCAACAGAACCCTCCCATCGAGTTCGAAACTGCCGTTGGTTACTTCAGCGCCTCTGCGGTTTTTCGTTAGGGGTTTCGTGAGCACTGTTTGAACCAAGGCCCACCTGCCTCGTCGTGTCGAAACTGTGCCGTCTGATTCCCTCTACAGTCTGTTGCAAATTAAGAAAAGCAGGAAATGCTTTGTTTTGTGTTAACTAAAGAAGAGGACAGACGGAATCGAGCATGTAACACGCCCTTCCGTTGCAGGGAGTGGAGAACGCCCTGTTCGCCAACGACGCGTGCGGGGCCCCCGTGCCCTGGCTCATGTGCTGCCCGTGGCTGTTCTTCGACGGAAAGCTCCTGCACCACAAGCTGCTGCGGGCGGCCCAGGCCAAGAGCCTGGTAGAGGTGTGCGGGGGCCAGATCGACCAGGTGGCCAAGGTGGAGCGCATGCGGGCCGCCGTGCTCGAGGGACTCCAGGTGGGTGGGGAAACACGCTCCAGACAACGACCCTTCGGTCTCGTGGAACAGCAGTCTTTCGATCGATAGCCACCTCTATCGGACTCTGCCGAGCTCGCCGAGCTAGCCCTTGTTGGTCGGTGGGATCGTTGCCCTTGTAGCCTTTCCGGGATGTTTGTGGATCCAGCATTTATGTCTGTCGTGGTCGGTTTCAAGGCCTTCTTTCTTTTTTCTTGCTGCTTGAAGTCGGGGCGTGCGAGGAGGGGCACGCAGAAAAATAAATGTCCGTTGGTCGTCGCAACCAAGGAAGTGAGCGACACTGTTGGTCATGTTGGTCGTAAACGTGTGAAAGATAGTTCTGTAGCTGTCGTAAGATTCCATCGTAACCTGTGCAAAACTTGCAATAATTTTGTTTTGTGAATGCGAATTTGTTCTTGTGTTTTGTCGTACGCACATTTTTGACGTAGGATTGTTTCATGAAACTGGCCTTAGGGCTTTTGCAGTGGACTTTCTATTCAATTCAATTCAACTTATTCAAAATAATAATAGATCACTCTGCACAAACGCATCTGGATCCGTAGCCTACTTGGCTAGTCTTGGATCCATTCCAATTCTACAGAAATAAATATTGCGACAGTTTCCTGGCACCCATGCAAGTGCCGTACAAAAATATTAGTCACTGAAAATATGTTTCCAAATAAAATGTTTAAACTGTGTTTTCAAACGTTCGGCTTTCTTTTATTGGGATGCATAAGGAATTTTATATTTTAGTCCCAGTATACTGTATTATTCTTTGACCATACACATTAGGAGAAAATGGAATGTTAAAACATTGCCTACCGGCTGGTTTTCGCCCAAGGACTTCCCTTGCAGTTCCCATCCTAACTGTAGCCCCTTCCCCCGCTTCTCTCTCGCAGGTGGAGTTTGCACGTGCGCCCCTGCCCCACATGGGGGGCCTTCCCCCTCCCCGCTACCTGGGGGGTGGCTACCCGCCCCTGGGCATGCCCCCTCCCCCAGGCGCCAGGGGCAGGGGCATGCCGGGGGGCCAGGGGGGGCCCCCCGTGCCCCCCGGGGGCCGTAGGGGGGGCATGATTGCCCGGGGGGGCCAGCTGGAGATAGCCGGGGTCGTGGTGGGCAGCTGGGGCGCCAACTACGGCCAGGGCCCCAGGGGCGCCCAGGGCCCGCCCCCCAGGGGACTGAGGACCCCGTCCCACCTGCCGCCCCAAGTCACCTCCGTCGGGGGCAGGTGGGTGCCGCCGCCCCCTCTTGGTCGTAATGACGGTTGATCCACACGGTCAATTTGCAGCTTTGTTAGTCGGTACTGGAAATAGCGCTGGCGTTGCTGATGCGTTCGAGTCGGCCCTGCGTCGGCGCTGTTCCTAGTGTCGACGTAGCACTGCAACGTAGTGTGTACCGGCTTTTACCGTTTTCTCGGCGTTCAAAGAAAGCATTGAAAATTGAGTTTCAAAAATGGCAGCTGCCCCAGACATGACCAGCTGCCAAGTTGATTTCGCCTCGTGGTGTGGCTGCATCCCAACATCTAGACGGTCGCACTTGCACGTCTCGTGTCAACGTGCCTCACCCCAGCTGCGCAGTTTGCAGAGCCGGAAATACTTCTAAGACGTTTCATGAAAGCATTTGGTGCTTTTGGCACGATTGGCCTTTGAGAGAGCGCTTTCTCAAACGCCGAAATAAAGAATGGGGAGTACCTCCTTGTCTCTTACTCATAGGTATGGTTTTCTCAGTTCTCCGTAACATTTTGTCAGCAAGCTCAGCTAAATTGGTATTACGATATGTCACTCGCCCCGTTGTCGGGTGTGTGCGACTGTCTGTGCTAGCTTCCAGTGTCGTTTTCGTGCTACGTCGTTCGTGAGCAAGTTCAAGCTCCTCTGTCGCGTCTCGTTACCCTGGGAGTGAATGCTTATGCCGGTATTGTCTTGGCACGTGTGTGTTTGTGTGCCTAGGTATGGCAGCCTAGGACGTGGCCTGATGCCTAGGAGGCCACTGGGTTTCAACAGACGCCCCGGGGCACCTTTTAACCAGGTATGCGGCGTTCACCTCCCGTCTGCATCGAGCATACTGAACGCGCGGTCTTTCAACGGCCGCGCCACAGCCGTCGGCAGTCTGTTTTCCTAGCCGTCCGTCGAGACACTTTAAAGGGGCCCTGCAACGACTTTTTGGCTGGCTGAACCTGAGCAGAGAAACTGAATTAGTTTGTGGGTGACGTGACACCAAGTCGTGTGACCTCATTTCCCTGCTAAATTTAGCGGGGAAACTGAATTGGAGGGGAGAGGGGGAGGAGGGGTATACCCTCCTCCTCCTCCTTCTCAAAAGCTGCGCTTTAATTTTGCATTAGAGATTTTCACTTAATGAGCACACCCCCTGGGAGGGTCAACGTTTGAACCCTAGGCTTAAAATTAATGAAATTTACGGGGTAGGCTGGTGGTCATGCTAGAGGATGCATAACAAAATTTCTGGTCTGTCAGTTAGATGGGAAGGAAATTAGAGCAGCTTCTATCAGCAACACGCCTACATTGTTTAGTTAATCTATCGCCGGAAAACTGTCGCAGTATTCAAGATATTTATTCACTAGATATGTAGCAGAATGCCTAGGGGGTGTGCCTACGAAAAACTTTTTGTAAAAAGTTGTTCATTTCTATAAATTTTCTCTTCTCTAAGATTAATCTACTTTTTGGTCTTTTGTGTCTTCAACAAAATGTCAACATTTTTTTTATGAAAGACGTCCGTAAAGTGCCGAAAAAATTCCATAGCCGCATTCCTTATTAAATTTCAGTCAGTAGAAGTGAAGAATGGGCCTTCCCTGTGTCGTCATTATCAAATGATAGATTGACTAAAATGGAATTTATACCAAAAAGTGGAACGGAGAAAAGTGCGTTCAAAGTGCTCCAAACTCTACCTTTTCTTTAGCTTCTGTGAACAGAAAATAATTTATAAAAAAATTAACTATGCAGTGTAAACTAATGAATCTTTCTGGGAATACTCTCTAGATGTTGGTGGATATGAATATATCATTTTTCAAAAGCAACTTTTTTTGCAGGAATTCTTTTTTTCTGAGTATTGTCCCCCCGAAACGGCATTGTAGTTTCGATCTTCAAGACTGTTGCCCGACTACTAGATTAAAAAAAAAAAAAAAAAGTGATAAAACATTTTTTACTCCCTACACCGCTGCAGTCGAATCTGGAGGCTCCTTCTCGTTATGGGAAAAGCTTTTAACGACAAAATATTGTTAGAAGCAAACTGATCTGCCAGAGGACCTCCATCGGCGTACCACTCAAGCACCCCTCCACAGAGAGGCTAACACAATGGTGCCTCATCGCTAAAGCCCGACGTTTTTGTCACATTTTACTACTCACCCCTTAGAGAAATCCTTAGAATTTCTCCCTCGTGTGAATAGCGCTCTTAAGTGGAAACGGCAAGTTGTTTGTGATATAGACGGGTGTAGTGTTCTTGCCATTCTCACGGGAACACGAATGAAGCGGGGAGAGGGTTGGGCTGAGCGGAGGCTGACCGACGACGTGCCTTCTCTTCCCCGCGTGTCCAGCAGTTGAAGGGCGGACGTGCCAAAAAGAAGCCCGCGGGAAAGGCCAAGGACGACGAGGCGCCCAAGCTGGTCGGGAAGGGGAGGGGATGTACCATCGAGACTGCCGACAAGTGAGTGCCCCCGCCACCTCGCTGCGGCTTGCTGTAAACGACTTAAATTTTCGCGGCCTCATTACTTTTCCGAATTTTGAGAAGTGGGTGTCTGGGAAATATTTTGCAAGCGCAGAGCTTTGCGGTCAGTAACGGTACGATACATATTTGTTAACAAAAGGCAGTATATACGCGCAATAAATGTTTTGCAATATTTTTCGAGTCGTGAAATTTGCGGAAAGGAGGTCCTCGCAAAAATTAAGCCGTTTACGACATTTTTCGTGCATCGTGCTTTTCGCGTCTCAACTGTCTCCTTCACCGACCCGTTTTTTATCACCCTTGCCAACCCAGCGTAGCTTTTCATTTCCTTTTTTTTTCACTTTTTAAGTTTTTTTTTTTTTCTTAATCATTAATGTGTGTGAGTAGGGTGGTTGCCTGTTTGTTGTGCGCGTTCCTTCTATTTGCTCAGGTTTTTGTATGCCGTTGTGCATTCAGTCTAGCGATCGCCAACTTGCCCGGCTTGCCACCTTACTGCTGGAACGGGGAGCGCATTCGGTTCAGTCTCTCGTACGACAAATGCAGAGACACTCGGCTCGGCGGCGCGCTTCCCCCACTATGCCCCGTCGCATTCATGGAGATGCGAAGAATTTGTGCCAGCTTTCCGCCGAAAGTTACCTAGATCAACTCCTTCGGCTCTGAAACCGATGGCTCTGGCCTTACTTTCTTGCCGGCTCGTCGTCGAAAGCAAACGAAAAGGGGAGCCACGGCTTAACGGCAGTTTTGAGACGTTCCAGTTAAGTAGGCAGACGGAACTAATGGGAATTAAACGTGTCCCCCATGGGAGTTTCACAAGGAGAATATACCAAGGTTTCACTTTATTTTAGGCGGAAGTAAAGGAAAGCCCGTTGGCTTTCCAGGCTTAGGACCGAGTTTTTGCAATCTTGCGACGAGAAAATGCTTCGGCGTCGTCCATGTGGTGACCCTGGAAAGGAAATCCACTGGAGCGAAGGTTTTGCGGGATGAAACATACCCACCGTAAAATACCGGGGAAGCACCCACCCCACTTTCACCGAAAAGTGGGCTAATCTAGACAAAAGTGCCTGTGCGGTCAAATCGGTGAAAACCAAGATGGCAGCCAATAAAGAGCTTCGAAGGCAGGCTGAACGGAATCGGAGGAAGCACCTTTATTTTCGTGCCACATCCCCATCGTGGTTGCCACAACGGAGGTAAATATTTTCTGCCAATGCCAACGCTTTGGAGGGGTTGGGCACTCGACGTATAGTTTGCAGAATTTCCAAGTGTGGGAAACGTTAACGGTGGGCACTTTTGTGGTATTTAATAGTTGCGATTTTTTTGAGGAATGATTGTTTCTAACAGTGTTGCGAGGGTTTTAAGTCGAAAAGGAAACATACGGAAATGCCGATTGTTTGACTCGGGTGCCACGCCTTCTCTCATCGTAAGAGATCGGTTTTAAGACTGACGGTCGTAAGTGGTCGCGAGCGTGCGAATTAGCCTCGAAATAGAAGTATGCGACAGTGCTCCAGAAAGCACCAAAGAATTGCTCGGATCGGTCCCGTCGCCGACTGCCGCGCACGCTCGAGTGCCGGTGCACTCGCATCCGTGACAAGCCCGCGCCCTCCCTTTTTTGCAGCTGCACCATTGAGGTGAGCCAGCTAACGGCCAAGTCCCTGGAGTCTTCGTCGGACGCGAGCGGCGACTCGGGCGACGCCCCTGCATCTCGGGCCTGTCTCCTATTGGCCGGGGTCACCCTCGGCGAGAGCAGCACGGACGCGCCCGCCGCGGATGCCGCCGGAGCGACGCTTGACGGAGTAGGGCAACCCTTCTCGTCAGATGTCTAGGCGAGCGCGCGCGACGCCGCCTTTCTCGCCGACCGCCTTCTCATTATTAAGCCGCTACAAAAGTTTTCCTATTGGCCGTTGTTTGCGGTCGCGATCTCGACGGGCAAGAGTGGCGTTAAAAAGTTTTCTTGGTTTCCTATTTTATTTTTATTTTTTCGTAGAATGGAACGATGGCTTTTGTTGTGCTCAGCTGCCGTGGCGGCGTGTGGCGTTTTCTTAGCCTGTTTTCGTTTATTGGCTCCGAAACATGCGACAGGTGGGGCTCTAAAGAAGTGGGCCCTGCGATCACCCGGGCCGTCTAGGCTGAATCTTGTAGGGCCATCTGTCGCTTGGATCGTTCAAAACGAAAGGCCAGGCCATTTCCTAATGTTTAAGGTATAAAATGTGGTGCAAACAAAAACATTGTATCGCGAAAAGGCCGCTGAAAACTGGAGGGAAGACGCAGCAATGGCTATTGGCTGTCAATAGACTAGGCCATTAACGATGGATCTTTTTTTTTTTTTTCCCTAAATTTTGCAATGTGGTCAGAATTTTCAATGCCCCTTTTCGACGGTTACTACGGTTCATTTCCGGTCCCATTTCGGATTTTACCGAAGATGAAAAACGTTAGGACCTGTAAGGATACCGATTTCCGACTTAAAGTTCGGCGTCCTCTTTTGGTGCTTCTGCTTTCCTGAGATTTTCTTTGTTTCTGCGGCGAGTTGGCGGCGATGGCGGACAATTTTCTTCTTTCCTAGGAACAGACAGACAGGGACTGCTAAAATGCGACGAACTGCTGCGTACCTGCGGCACATGCGTGCGTGTGTGCCAGTGATCATTTTTTTATTTTTATGGAGAAATGTGCAAACAAAGGACTACTGGACAAGAGTGTGTGCGTGGTGCGAGAGTGGTGCTCATCTGTCGTGCGTTTCCCAGCGTCGTCTTCATCCCTGCACCTCGACGGACGAGCGCCTCTTCAATCGATGTTCCGTTTTCATTTTTCAATGCCCGAATACATCGCCGGTCTCGCAGGTGTCTGCTTCCCGCTAGTTGCGAGTACCTCAATTTTTTACGTCTTTGTTTTAAAAAAAAAAGATTGCAGCCCTTTGTTTTCGGTTTTGATTACTTCTGTCGTCCGCCGGGAGTGTTTTGGGTGTGACAATGGGGAAACCCTGTACAGTGTTATGTTAGATTATGAGAGATGTATTTAAACCGTATCCGACAAAGTAGAACCTCGTTCTCGGTCGTGGCTGGCGGAAGCGTCCGCCGCGACATTCGGATCGGTCGGCAGCTTGCTCGTGCACCGTGACAGACGGAGCTGGAATTGGGACGCGTTTCGGCCCATCGTGCCACCTTTCTGGGCGTTTGATTGTTTTCATGGCCAGCCTCGAGGTAGACTGCAACGTGGCAACGAATCGAGGAGGACGTCCTTTGAATTAGGACAGCAACGGGATCTCCTCGTTTTATCGTCGCGTCGTTCCGCACAGCGGCCAAGCGACGCGTTTTTTTTTTCCCGACAAATGTGGAAATGTTGAGCTGAGGCTCCCTTTTTAGGCGAATGATTTTGGGCGGAAAGGGGAACCGCTCCTTTGCGGTTGTGCGAATCGCTAAAACCCAAATCTTGCTGGGAAGGTAACCACAACGGATGCAGGATTAAGATGAGACGCCGCTCATATGTGACGTTTCCGAGCGCAAGCTATTTCTTGGGGGAAAAAAATGCTGAAGTAAAGTATGTAGTTTGACAACACTCGGACCTAGGACGGCTCCGATCTCACTTTCTCAGCGACGTTTAGTCGTTCCGAACCGCCGCGCGTGGCGTCGGACGACCGTTGAAACTTCCGAGGGTGCCAGTTGGCAACCCTCATCAACCAATGAACACAAAGAAATCGTGCAACTTCTGAGTTTGAAGCGTAAAGATAGGCCTGGTAGGCCGCCACTCACTTTGCGACAACCCACGCTAACGTAAACGTAACAAAGAGCAACATACAAACTTATGGCGCCGGTGCTAATTCATGGCCCCGCCGAAAAGAAACAAAGAACCTTTTGTGTAAGGTTTCACCCTGGCACGTCCCGCTGCCTCTGGAGCGAGGCATGCCGGGTTCGTCCTCCACCGTCTGTATCATTTTTTCGCTTTCTTGAGGAGGTTGAATGCCCGGCGTAAAGCTAGTGGCATCAAGTATCGCCCACACGTGGCTTTTTGCGTTTGTTTTTTCTTCACGTGTATACTCCCAACTTGCAATGTTAATCATTCGAATGCAAAAAGGGCAGGGCCTTTATTAATCCTCTCTTTTGTGCCCTTTTGGGTTTATGCTTGGTTCTGTTTAACCATGTACAACTAAACTCTGACCGTCTTCAAGCAGTCTTTTTTTTTTTTTCTTTTTTTTGTTTGGTAGTTGCTGAAGAGCCTCATGGCCCTGCCCATTCCCCTCGTGTTTTTCTTTCTTTTTTTTACGAGTTTAGCAGCCTCCCCTAGTAGCTTTGTGCCGTTCAAAGGACAGCTTCCACTACCCTTCCCACCCTAAACGTATGGAGATAATGATAACTTTAGTGTTTGTCTATTGTACCGCTACTTGAGTGTTCGCGGGCAAATCGACAACGCCGGAAGAAAACCGGTCGTTCGTTCGAGGGATCCATTTCTTTGTGCTCGGTATTAATCGAACCAACAAGTGTATCGAAACTTTAATCTATCATAGCAAGCTCTTTTTGTCCTCAAACGAGGGAGATGGAAAAAGTAAAAAAAAAAATGTTTTGTGTCGGTAGTGTTCAAATGCGCCGTGCACCGTTCGGTTCTCGAGATGCATCGCGATGCGATAATCGCCACCCGTAACACTCTCTGCCGGCCAAACGCACCGCGTGGCCGTGTCTGAGACGAGGGCGAAAGAAAAGCATAGGCTTTTTGAGTTCCTCTTTCAGGGGTTGCATGAGGTCGTGCTTTTGTTCATGATGTATTTGATAATGATAGTCTTTGTATTTTGTGGCAAAGCTCTGGGTGGGAGCTGTTAGTGTAAGCAAGCATAGTTCTCTGCCAGTCCCCGGTTCCGGCGCATGGCTTGGCCGATCGCACCTTTTCCGAGCATGTCTGGCACCTCTGTCGTGGTGGCATTCCAGATGGTACTGGAGTGGTTAGCAATCCACTAGCCAATCATTAATTGACCGAAATATGGTCACTGGTCATGATTAGTCAGGCAGATTGATTGGCGGGTCAATTACAGAAAGGACACTAAGAGTGATTTTACCAATTAGCTGAATGATCACTGACTGAATGAAAGTGATCGGCCAGCCTGGCAGATGGCAACAGTATATGCTGCCACTGTGCACACCTGCATCATTGAGAAGAGCGTAAGGTGCGACGGATTATGCTCGATTGAGTTTGCGATCGACACGCCGTGTGCTGGAACTGAAAAAAAAGAAACGGCTCGCGACTTTTGGTGGGCAGTCGGCGAGTTTTGTTTCGAGGGAACCTGGCATTTCTGGTGCAACGTGGCTTTCTCTAGTTTCCCTTTTCAGAACGGCAAACAGTTTGAAAAAAAGAAGTGTCATCTCTTTATATTTTTTTTTATTGCCCCCAGTTTTGTTTTTGAAATGCACATAATAACCTGTCTCTTGTTTTAGATGAAAAAAAGTAATCGTAGTAAGTGGGTTGTCTGTATCTGTCAAGTTGGCACGAGCATTATTATTGCCGCGGCAACTACGAAAGCAGTGTGTTTCTCTCACGTTTAATGGTTTAATGGACGTCTGCAACGCTCGCAAAGTTTAACCGGAAACAGTTCTGGAAAGCGTCACCGACGAGGCTCGACATGGCGGGAAACGCCGTTCGGGTCTTCAGCGGCGTACTCCTTGTTTCTCTGTCGGAAGGCTGGCACGGGCAGCAGAGTGGTTTGGATGTAAAGGAAGGAAGGAGAGGGGGGGGGGAGAGGGTTTCCGCGGAGTCGGGCAAAAACCGGTCACAGCGGTGCATGGTCTTCGACGGTTTCTGTGCACCCTTAAAATTGGCGGCGCCAAGCGCGACTCGAATGCCTCTAAACGTCTGGTACATCTGCCCTAAATTTTGTGGGAGGGGCGTTTTTCTGCGGAGATGCAGCAAAGCGAGGGTCGTGGGGTACAAGAAGCGCGAAGCGGAGGCTCCGGATGGGAGCCGCGGTCTGTGCGCGCAACTGTTGCGCTGATAGAGAAACGTGTACCTTGTGTTGCCAGTTTTGTGAATAAAAGTGATTGTTTTCCTCTGCACGGTTTGCCGTGAAAGTGGGGGAAGAGGGCTCGCACTACTGTGCCGGGAACGCGTCTCTGACTGGAGTGATTTCCGCTTCCTAAAATCTGTTCCCTCGATACCCGACGACGACATAGAAGTGTCATCCTGGCACCGGCAGAGCAGTGGATGTGGTGGATGCCCGTCTCACTGGGTGCCTTCGGGACCACTTTGGGTGCAGGGGCGGTATGGGATGCAAAACATAAATGTCAGAGACACGTCTTGGTACTGTTGTCACACCCTCCGACCTGCACCGTTGCTTTTGGGCGACGCTTTGCCCCTTTGCCGAGACAAAGTGGGGAGTCGTTCCCTTTACTGGTACCAGAGTGGTTTCATTCCGACACTTTTATTTACTATTTGGAAGAGGATGGAGAGATTCGGCGTTGGGCAGAGGTGTTGGAACTATTCGGGAGATGGGGGAGGCGACAGTAGTTGTGGTTGGGGGGGGCCACAGTGATTTTGTGCCCCCCCCCCCCCCCCATTGTTTCCATTAAATTTCTAAACTGCCCCTCCCCGCCTTACTGGTTCAGACTCCACTGACGGTGGGTGCGGTATGTTTGTCTGCCCCATTCCATCGATGCCCTTGTGTTTGTTCGAGGAGAGTTGGGCACATCAGGAGATTGGTTTGTAGTACTGAAAAGTAATGCTTTGAATGGACCTTTTACTGAAGGGCTCTGCTTGAGTGTGCACTGCCTACCACTAAGCACCTGGTTATTGCACATTCTTTGGTAATAACTTCGTAAACGTCTTTGGTGGTGTTCGGTGTTTGCAACATCCAGAATTAGCCTTTACTCTTTAATGATGATAAATAATCCTATTCTGAGCTCTGGTAGACTGCTCTGAGAGCATTCAAGGCTCTGAAGGAGTTTCACTCGTCTACTTTTGGATGTCATCTGCATATGCGAGAGTTTCCGCATAACTCCTTTGAACTCTTTTGTACTTTCTTAGATTGCTAAAAAAAAAGCATTAGAGCAGCAGCAGTTTTTCATAATTCTGTTTACGCCTTCAACAGTCATTAAGATGGTGACTTTGAGTATCATTTTGTTGCACATTTTCGTTTTACCTTTTTTTTTTAGCGAGCCCTGAAACAAACAAAAACAAAATCCTATGACGGCTTGTAGCTGAGCTAGTTGGTGCATGCTTGTTAAAATGCCAGCTGAGCGTTTTAAGGATACACACGGGGACAAACAGAGTCCGCAGTGTGTCTGTCTTTCTGCTTGTCCCTGTGTGTCTGTCCTTGAAACGTTCGGCTGGCATTTTAACAAGAAATTTTATTCTGAGCTTTACTTGAGCAAAAAGTTCTGAACTAGGTAGTCAGTTTATAGGAGTGCAGAAATCATGTAGCAAAAGCCTGTTCGCTGGTTTAGCAAGTTCAGGTAAATCGAACATATGGTGGTGTTCATATTTGTGTGAATTTTTTTCGATACACATATTCATTCGTGTATTTTTGATAGTTTACCTGCAACTGTTGCAAACCAGTTGGCGAGTGCTATAACAAAACTAAATTATTGCTAGCATTTATTTGTGCATGGATTGAAATATCTAGGGTGACATGTTTGATTGAACGCCGATACAAAAAAAGTAGGTTTCCATACAACGTTAATATTAGAAAAAACACTCGATAAAAATGAATGTCATTCGCTGTGATGACTTGCAATGCACGATGGGAAAAACAGCTCAGAAAACGCGGACTACGAAAAACGAACACGACAGGACAATGTTGTGTGCCCACTATGTACAACGTCAACCAACTGACAAAGGACCGTGCGGTAGGTAAAAGGTAATCGATTTGGCTGGAGGATCCAATCTCATTTACAAAACTTCCCGAAGCAATGGGTACGCTCCTATGTCGCCAATGCTGAAATTTCAACGCGTTTCGCAATCTGCACATTGCGAAAATTTTCTGAAAATTGATGGGAAGATATGCGGTGTCGCTAGCAGACGACAGTCGGCGGCCGCCGTTGTTTACGTGCGCGAAGGCACGTAGCGGTTGACCCAGTTCTCTATGCGCATGCGCAATAGCTCACTATTGTTTGCCACCTTTTGACGAAAAGCGTAACACCCAATTGCGAATGTTGACGTAAGCTTGGACACTGACAAATCGTAACCGTAACATCTGTCCAATTAAACCGGAAACATCGCGTCATTTCAAACGCGAGCAGACAGGAAAAGTCGGCGAGCGACGCGAGACATTGCGCGAGAGCCGCGAGAGCGAGTCGCCGCTTCCGCCATCTTTAAAAGGACAGCTCTCAGCGAGAGATTATTGTAAACATTTGAGACGTGAAAACAAACGCGTTTCTGCCATTACGTCTAAATAACGAGCCACTCAGCATAGTCTAACGCTATAAAAATGACGTGCGCATGTGTCAATTAATACGAGTTCTTGCCGAAGGCCTCGCAAACGAAGCAAGTAAACAACGACAGTCGCTGCGGAGGTGTCGCCACCTGTTGTCGCCTTCTGACGTCACCATGATGGCGGCGGAGGCGCAGCGTAATGTATGAAACCGCGGTTGGCGAGTTTGGCTCATGTGCGTTGTTGGACGGAGCGAACCCCAGCGCCAACCCGAACCCATGTCGTAGCCGCCGATCAGCCGACACGGCCTTGTTGGAGCCGGCAACGATGGACCCTACGTTCAACGTGGGGCGGTTCACTGGCCCCAAGTTCAGTCATTCCCACTATCAAAACAACATCGTCGTCGAAGCAGCCGCCGTGCCGTCGCCCTGGTATGTCCTAGTTTCGATCTCTTCCGTGCGCTGGTCGTCTGTTTTCCCTTCGTTTCCTCGACTCGGATGGAAAGAAGAAGGCGTAATTTTTGGGTGGAGGACTGATTCGTCGATTGGCGTACGCGGATCGGAGGCAGAGCTCTAACGAGGGGCCCTCAAAAACCAAAAAAAAGCAAAAGCTAAATTGGCGTCATGCTGCAAAAAAATGGCCAGCAGTGCGTTTGGCTCCATGACTGGGGACGACTGTCTTGTTTGCCTCGCGGCTTCGTCGTGCGTTGACCTTATTGGCACGCGATGCGTGCGAGCGGCAAACCCAAGATTAAACAGCCGTTGATCGGCTGGCATTGTGCTATGTTGTATTGACGCTCGTTTTTGTCGGTTTTTTGTTTTTCGGCTCCGACCGTCCGCGCTGCGCGGCGTGCCACCCGCTGCCTTCCCAAAGTTGGGGGCGCTTGTTTACTTCGGTTTTTTTTGTTTGTTTGTTTTGGGCCACAAGAAAAAAAATTACGATAAAAAACAAACGACAAGAAGCGATTCAACTTGCCGACGATCACGATACCTGCTCAAGTCGGGCTCATTCTGTTTTGTGCGAGGGACAGTTTTCGTGGTTCTCGTTGCTTTCACCCCCCCACCGGCACCGTTTCTTTTTTTATGTACTTCGTTCGCTCGTATTTGTCTTTAAAAATCCACGTCTACCACCACCACCGCCGCCGCCGCGGGAAAACAAGTTCGACCTGTTACCTTCATTGAAAAAATGTGTTGTTTTTTTGCCGCGGGTTGTTTTTGTTTCTTCTTCGGACAAACTCCGCGGGAAGCGACCAACTTTGCATTCCTATTCGATTTCCCTGCCCTGAAGGTTCAGTTGTAACGATTCGTGGTCAGAGGCACGGTCACAAGTTGGTCTCTGATCGTGGCGTATGCCCCGACTCGCTTTTGATTAATTTTTTTTTTTTTCTGTCATTTTTGCCTTTTCTTTTTTTTTTTTTTATCTTGTTAGCGTTGGCTGTAAACAGCTCACTTCACAACCCGTGTCTGTGTGACCATTTTTTTTTTCTTCTTTTTACTGTGGAGTGTTTTACGTGTTTTTGTTGAGCTTGCTACCACATGCACATCTTTACAGGCTAAATTTATCGTTTTATCAGCACGTTGAAAAAAGAAAAAAAGAGAACGAAGTACCTATGAAAGCGTGCTTGTTTTTCTGCTTTGAATCGCGCCAGATAACGCACCATTGTCTTTTATGTTTGTTGTGTTTTCAGATACCGTTTAATTGCAGTTAAGATGCCCAGTTTCAGGAACACAATTAACATACATACCTGCCCAGTCACAAACCTTTGCAAAACTGAACAAAACAATAATAAGTTTCTACCTTGTTTTCAGAAAAAAAGGTAATAATAATAATCTTTATTGGTTCAGGAAAGCCATTGCAGTACAGAAAGGCACATCACGCTACATCATAACTTTGCGAGAAAAGAAAAGTCTGATGGAGACCAGCCAGTGCTGGGTTGCTCTTAATCCACTTTAATTAATATTTAACGCAGCTGCGAGCGCGCATAAGAGAACTGCCTCTGCCAGGTGTTGAATAGACCCCTTCAATCTCGTGGCTGTACATGTGCACAAAGGCTCACTTGCAAGAAGCTGTACTTCATACTTGGGCACATTCAAATACCTGCACCACAAAGGGAAGCTTGCATAGCAGGCTGAAATATTTCCTTACTCTCGATATGGGGTTGCTGGATTTGATTGATAACGAGACTGATATCAATGGGGAAAACCAATGCAGACATGGAGATTATAGTCGGTGACAGGTTAAGAATTGAGGGGAAACTCTTCGCCCCCTTTCCACTTAGCAGAGGGAATGCTGAAGAGGGAGGAGGGTGGAGCTTCTCGTAAACTCTTGACCTTTCATCGACTATAGTTTGGCCTTGTTTTGGCTAGGGTATGTCATCAGATATCCATACTATTTGTATTCAGTGACACGCCTGTTAAAGTAGGATGGAGTCACCGTTGGCGATATATGACGGTTGTCCAATAAGTTCTAATCCCAACATAGAAGCAAGAACTCTAGGTCCAAGAACACTGTTTTATTTTTCAACCCAGCCCCCCTGAACATCAACCCACTTAACACATTGCTTTCCAAGTTCTCTTATATCCTGAAGAGAAAAATCTTTTCTCACTCCTCTGGAAGTGGTGATCAATTCCCTCCTTGAGTTCATCATCATTGAGAAATCGGTGTCCTCGGAGGTTTTTCTTCAAATGTCGAAACGGGAAGAAATCACTGCAAGGGCTGGAAAATAGACTGGATGGTTGACTACTTCAAACCCGCATTCCCATGTAGTGTCTTGTGCAATGTAGAAGGTGTGTACTGGAGCACTGTCGTGAAGAAGCAAAATCGTCTTGCTCGGTTTTTCCTGGCATTTCTCTTTGATGGCTTTATGCAAATGAGCCAGCACTTGGGCGTAATAGGCCCTTGATACCTTAGTTTTCGGGTGGTAGGTAATTGATCAGCAGAACACAGTCCTTCTCCCCCAAAAATGTTGCCATGATCTTGCTCGTAGAGGCTGTCTCAAATTTTACGGGCTGGAAAGAATCTTGCGCTTCCAAGCCATGCTCTCGGGGTCCCAGTGGTAGATCCGAGTTTCGTCCCCCGTCATCGACCGCCAGTAAAGGCAGCTCTCAGCAGCATTCGTCATTGCTGACATTTCACGATAACATTCCACTCCATTCTTTTTCCTTCTAGCTGTCAACATTTTGGGAACCCAATGCGTGCAGACCTTGGACATACCCAAATGTTTGTGATAGTTTCCACGGACATAGTACTAATGCCCAGTTCTTTAGCAACCTCGAGAATCGTGACACGCATATTCATCGTGACCGTGTCTTCCACTTTGCGACGCATTTCTTCAGTGGCGACTTCAACTGGACGACCGGCCAGTGGGTCGTCTTCCGAAGACTCCCTGCCGTGCTTAAGGGGCCACTGAAAAGAAAAAAGAATGTTCTTTTTAAACAGCCTGGTTGGGACACGTGTGTAAAAAATAAATTTTATGCGAAAAAAAAAATATTTTTCTTCTAGCAATAGTATTGGCGCAAGATTTATTTCAAATTGTGCATGCAAAGTCCACGATGGCACGTAATGTTCATACTCTTTCCACCTGAACGAGATGGTCATGCACTCTCTCCACCTCAACGTGATGGTCAAGCCAGTCCACCTTGCCTTCACGTGCCCGAAATGCCGAGAGAGGAAACAAGTGAAAAAGAAGGCGACTACTGGCTAAATTGCCTCTCGCGCCATCAATATTGCTCTAAAAATTTTTAGAGTGCAGCTCTTAGGCACCCGTTTCTGGTTTGAGCGGCGTAGCCGTCAATGTAACCGCACGGTGCATTATGAGGCATTTCCCATAATGCACCGTGCGAGGAGGAGGGGAAGGAGAGGAGGGAGGAGGAGGGAAGCACCTTGAGGGATGAGGGGAGGAGGAGTATCAGGGAGGAAGAGGAGGTCAGGAGGAGGGAGGAGATGCATACCCTCCCTTCAGTGTCCTTTCCGCCTCCTCCTCAAGAGCTGCGCTCTAATTCGGCGTTACAGGGTGTTGTAAACATTGTTCCTTTTTTTTTTTCCACATAAAATTATTTTTTAACACACGTGTCCCAAACAGACTGTCTAAAAAAACTAAAAAAAAATAATGTTGATTTTGAAAAATGACATATTTACATCCATTGACATTTAGAGAGTATTCACAGAAAGTTTCATTTGTTTACACCGCATTGTTATTTTCTTATACACCAATGTTAAAGAGAAAGTAGAGGTTCGAGCTCTTAGAGCACATTTTTCTCCATTCCGCTTTTTGGCATAAATTTTACTTTGGAAAACTATCATTGTTAATGGGACAAAAGAAAAGGCTAACTCGTTATTTTTTTTTTTATGTGGAATTTAATGGGCAATGGCTTTTTTTACTTTGTGGATGTCTTTTATAAATTATGTTAAGAGTTTGTTGACAACATGAAAGGCAAGAAATTCATTTGATTTTTCAGTGCAATGTTAGCACAAAATAAATTACCCTTAGGAAACTTTGTTTTCGCAGTTCCACTCTCCAGACATTTTGCTGCATGTCTAGTGAAGAAAAATGTTGGCTATTACATTAGTTTTCTAACGATAGTTTTCCTAAACAACGTCGGTGTTCCTGATAAAAACCACTATAATTTATTTCGCAATTCATGTACACATATAAAGCTTTACACTGCATTCTGCCTCACAACCGCCTGTATATACTGTAAATTTCATTCATATTTAGCCAAAGGTTCAAAAGTCAACCCTTTTGGGTAGTGTCCTCCCTTAAACAAAGCTACCCAACTTTTGACAGTAGTATACAACGGCACACTGTCCCCTCTCCCCCACACACTCTTCATGCGCTCAAGAATTCTTGCTGGCACTGTTCCCGCTTTCATCGAAAATTCGATTACGTCACGGTGCTTTATGCTGTCCTTCGCTTGTAGCTGTCTGGCGACCTTCAGTGTAGAGCGGCACGAGATCGACTGACAGTGGCGAGCGATTTGACTTGCAACTTTTGTCTCAATGGATGATGCGATGTGCATTTAACAATACCCCTCGTAGGACACGTTCTATAAGGACTTTGTAATTTGTGCGCTAGGCTAAGTGAGACTGTCCAAACACACACTTGGGGAGTTTCAATTTACGATTCAATTGAGTCATTTATTTTTTAATCTCACGTATGGCCAAGGCCTCGATATTGATGCACGGGGATTTAGTTACATAGTAGTCAAAAATTGTAAAAATTTTGTGAGACTGAAGTGAGATAGATATGTTAACATTATATTTCTCTTCCCAGTTACTGTATGAAGGATGCAAACGTGTCGCCATGTCATCCAAGTCGTGTCATGAACCACAAAAGCTAGGGCTGTATCTAAGTGGCGTTTGAGGTGCATAAATGCAGAAAGTTGATTAGTTTGTGTAGATGTTTGTAAAAGAACATCCTACACTCTTGGTA